GCGCCAGTCCCGGGCTGTCCTGTGACTGCGTGTTCCCAATGAAAGTAGAGGAAGCATGTCAAACTCTCGCTTTAAGTAACGCCTCCCTCCAGAAACAATTCGAGAAACGAAAGCCCTTTCACTGGATTGTGGATTCATTTTCTGGTGGAATCTTCCCTGATCCTCGTTCATGAGGCCCATCCAACATAGACACCTGAAAAGAGAGCTGGGAGGCCCAGAAAGGCTAAGGCTGGCCCAAGGCCACACAGCTCGTAAGCACCAGAACCAGAGCCCGAGCCCAGATCTTTGACCTCCAAGCGAGAACGTTTGAGCTGATGAAGCTGCTCCCGAAAGGGGATCCCTGAAGCCTGGGATGTTGTCTTGTGCGGCCCATCGGGGAAGGTGGCAGAGTCTGGGAGACACTAAGGTTCGCAGGATCCTGGTGTGCAGAGTATCTCCAAGGACCTTCTGTGCCCAGGAAAGACGACCGGCTGGCTGGCTGGCAGGAGAGCTGCCCTTCAAATCCAGGTCTGGTTTCTATGCACATTTAACAGGGAGTCAGGTCCCTGGGAAGAGCATCTGAGCTGGGCAATCCTCCGAGGGAGGCCTGGCCTGGCCTTGCATCCCACTAGGTCCCCGACCTGCCTTTCTGGCAGAATTAGGGACTGCGGGGCCATCATTTATGAGAGCGACACCTAGTGGACATTGGTGGTATCGCCGTCCCTAAGAAGAGCTCCAGAACCACCCTCGGGGTCCCGGGCCTCCATTCCTGGCTGGGAGTGCACAGGCCGGTGCTGTGTTTGAGTCGAGGTCCCAGGACATGCAACTGAGTGTTGTCCTCCTCAGATCCCTGCTGAGGGAGGCTGGTGTACGCATGTTCCAGCTCGGCTGCCGTTCCCTAGACCTGGTGGGAGGGCTCCCTCTGCACCTGCCTTTACTTCTCGGGTCTTCCCTGTGGGGCAACTCCACCCCTTAGAACAGCGGGCCCTCGCCGAGGCTCTGTGTTAGCTTCCTTCAGTCCAGCTTTGCTCCAGGACCTGCTTAGTGTGTCCCATAATGTTGTTAGTTATTGGTTGTTGCTATTGTTTGTGGGTTTTTATTTGAATTGAATCCCAAAATTACAAATTAGGACTCCCAGCATTTCTGCAAGTCAGGCAACACTTGTTGTGAATTCTCACCCAGCAGCAGTGGCTGAAGCTGAGGAGCTGCTGCCCCCTTTGGACTGGCAAGGATTTTCCAGTTTGCCACAGTCCACACCACTCCCTGTTGTCTCCTGGTGCCTGCCCTGCTGTCCATTACCCTGCCTTCCCGGTCGCTATAGAAGCTTTATCGTTATATCACACATGCAGGATAGTTGCTGTCACAGGAGTAGACCCTCTGCCAAGCATGGTACATGCCTCCTCTCATTTAACCCAGTGAGATGGGTGTCATTAGTCCCAGCTCACAGATGGGGTTCACATCCCTAAGAATTTTCCCGTGATCAGACAGCAAGCACCTACGCCATGCAGTTAGCTGCTGTGGGCAGGCAGGCAGACCTGCATTGCATTCCATGAGAGAGTGGAAAGCCAGGTTACATTGACATAAACTATCTCTATGAGCCACAAGGTTGAAATGAATTTCAGTTATGGACACACTAGAGGCCCGATGCACAAAATTCATGCAAGAGTAGGCCTTCCTTGCCCCAGCTGCCGGCACCGGCTTCCCTCTGACACCTGGGACCTGGGCTTCCCTCATAGCCCTGGCTTCGTCCGCAAGGTAGTCTGGAAGGACTTCCGGTCTAATTAGCATATTACACTTTTATTATTATAGATGCATTTTACTTTGTCAGGTAATGGCCTCCTCCCATTGGTTTGCAGTGGTCGGCAAATTGCGGCTTGTGAGCCACATGCGGCTCTTTGGCCCCGAGTGTGGCTCTTCCCCAAAATACCACGCGCAGGCGCGCACGTACAGTGCGATAGAAACTTTGTGGCCCATGCGCAGAAGTCGGTATTTTGTGGCTCGAGAGCCGCAGTTTGCCGACCACTGGTTTAGGGGGTGTGACCGGCTCAGTAACGTCCCAAAACCACCACTTTCTATGGAAACATTCATTGCTTAGCAACCAGATGTGGACCCGGCAAAATAAGGCGTCCGTCAGTGGACCAGCATCCAGTGCAAAGGCAGATGCACCCGCCCTTGCTGCTGTGTCTCCAACACCTGCCCCTGAGGGAGGGCGCAGGGGGAGGACAGCACCTCTCGAGAGGCGGGGCTCCGGCGCAAACGGGGTGACCCGCAGCAGATGTTCTGGAATTCGGTTTCCTCCCCTCCAGCTGGACGGATGGCCTCGGAAGTCCCTAACTCTCTGGTTTTAGGCTCCAACTAGGTCTGGGGTGGGTGCAGGCAGAGTGAGAGAAGGAAAAGGACAGTGGTGATAAGAGTCATCCAAGAGGCCCTGGCCAGGTAGCTCAGTTGGTTGGGGCATCGTCCCCATACACCCAGGTTCTGGGTTCGATCCCTGGATGGGGCACATCCGAGAAGCAACCAATGAATCCACAAATAGGTGGAACGAGAAGTCGACGCCTCTCTCTCCCCTTCCTTGCTCTCTACAAATCAATCAATACATTTTCTTAGAAAAAAGAGGTGATTTAACAGGAGTCCCTGACAAACACGAGACTGTGTTTGACACTTGCGTCATCGGCATGTATTTGGTACCTTGAGGTTCTTCTCACTTTGCCAGTGAGAAGAGTAATGGCCGATCTGAACGGCTCGGGGTGTGGGGTTATGTGAGGGCCCAGGTCTAAGCTGGGACCCTGGGGAGCAGCTGGCCCTCTCTGAGCCCCAGGGCCTCTTTGTAAAGGAGGGGTGACCACACTCTCTTCCCGGGCGGCCGGCAGGGTCAGACGCGCTCCCATCCGGAGGCACACGCACAGCACCTGGTGGGATTCCTGAAAGTCCCGTCACCTCCCTCTCGCCCTTCCCTCCTCCCACTGGGCGAGGAACCACCACAGCGGAGAAGGGCCTTCAGCGGGGAGTCAGCTTCACGCGGTATTTCTCCACAGCGGCCGCGGGAGGGGTCAGTCCTCTGGTCGCCTGTAGAGGAAGAAACAGAGGTCAGGCTTGGCTTCAGCTCACACAGGGAAGAGCTGAGGTTTGAACCCCCGTCTGCTGGACGGTCTTCACAGGTTCCCAGAGGCAGCGCAGGGGCAGACGCTCTGCTCAGGTGGAGAAGTCCGTGGGGAGGAGGGGGCCGGGGCTGCACGGGAAGCCCGGCCGCTCCACAGGTTTACAGTTAACACCCTGCATTCCCAGGAGGGGGGCCTAGGGCAAGGCCCTCTGGCCCTTGATTATGGCTGGAATCCCCCCCCGCCACACACACACACACAGGGGATCTCCCACCGGCCTCTCCGGGGAGTCCAGGCGTTTCAGTAGCGGCCACTCTGGCTCGGGCACACACTGCCGCTTCTATAGTGCCTCCCGGTTTCACAGCGACGGCACCCCCTTGGGGCGGGGGCAGCGTTATTCCCCTTCCTCTGCAGGTGGGAGCAGGCTCAGGGAGCTTCCTGGCTTTCATGACCTTCCCCTGGAGGTCACACAGTGGGGCCTATGTGGGCAGCTCCTCGATGCTGCTGATGGGCAACCGTCCTCAGCACCCGCGGCCTGACTGGCGGGGCTCCTCCAGGCCGCAGTCTCCGTCCACAACAGTCTTGTCTCCCAGAGGCCGAGGGGAGGGCCCAGCAGCAGTAAAATGGTTGCTCATTCCTGCTCATGCCCTCGGGGGCTGAGCCAGCAGCTCCTTGAAGGTGCACTTCCTGCAACTCGCTGCTGCATGCTCACCACATGTGATGCCGCCAGGGCCGGCCAGCGGGTGATGAGTCACTCCTTCCAGGGCGTGTTCAGCTGTGCCCATAAGCCCCTCAGCCTCCGGGCCCCAGCTCAGGGCCCCCAGCAGTTACAGGGCTGAAACCTCGCCCGGAAGGCCCCTGTGACCACACCAGTTCCTCAGAAATCCCCCAACCCAGCCTTGATCTAGCTCGACGGCTCCCCACTTGCTGCGTAAGCCTTTCCCAGGCCCAGCTGGGAGGCCGGTCGAGGCCTGGGGCCCCGATCCCGGTTCTACCACTGAGCAGCAAAGCCATCTCCACCACGTTACTGCTCATCTATGTGCTTTGCTTTTCCTTCTGTACAATGGGAATCATATATAATGGGAGCAAAAGCCCCACCTGCCTGCTAGTGAGGGCTGAGAGGCAGCTCAGCACTGTGACCAGCACATGGTAGATGTTCCGTGAACGACGTGGGTGCGGGTGAGGGTGGATGTGCGCACACGTGTGACTCTCCATCTCTCCCGAGCACTTGACTTCTCTTCACCGTATTTTCTGGCTACACCAACTTGAGCACCACGGGGCTACCCCATTTCTCTCTCCGCAAGAATCCTGGTTTCTTAGTTCATCCTTCCTTTTGTTTTTCTAACCTCTTCTATGCCTTGTGTTCCTGCTGCCCATGTTCACGGTCCTCTGCAGCTTTCATTCCCAGTGGTGTGTGGTGGCAACATAGGTCAACGCTCAACCACTGCAATATGTTTGTTTGTTTGTTTTTTAATGTGTGACAACGAGCACAGCACACTAAGTGGGTAACAGATCTTCATGGCGAGAACCTCACTGCCCCACCAGGTCCCACGTCCGCATTTCGGTGGTGGGGAAACATGACCCCTGTGATCCACAGCCACGGAGCCCACGAGCAAAGGGCTTTGTCCATCTCCTCCTTCGCTCGACTACTGACCCTGCAGTGAGTTATTTTTCCTCTAAAGCAGCGGTTCTCAACCTGTGGGTCGCGACCCCTTTGGCGGTCGAACGACCCTTTCACAGGGGTTGCCTAAGACCATCCTGCATATCAGATATTTACATTACGATCCATAACAGTAGCAACATTACAGTTATGAAGTAGCAACAAAAATAATTTTATGGTTGGGCCACAACATGGGAACTGTATTTAAAGGGCCAGAAGGTTGAGAACCACTGCTCTAAAGCAACAGAGAAGGGGCGTGCAGGTTTCAGTAAAAAGCCGTGGCCTCGTACGGTTATTTTTTTAACTTAGGAGAAAAAGAGCCAAGCCACCTACTTGTTTCTGTACATAATTACATTTATTTACAAGAGCCGCCACAGCACCAGGGACAATAAGATGACTAGCTGTCACACAATACTGGGGAGGGGTAATCTCCTTGGTTTGTTTTTTTCTTAAAAAAACACCAACAAAACCAAAACCCCACCAAAACACTCTGATAAAGTTACCAGTTAAGGTAACTGCAAAGGTTTTGGAAGACTGTGTAATACTGCAGAGGTATTTTAAGTTGTTTTTAGTTAGTGACTGAGGATTTCATTTCATCATCTGGAGCTGAAAGAAAAAAAAAAGTCTCATGTCAGTAACTGGTAAAATGCAGTCAACCTGCGTGGCAGCCCGAGAGTCATGATTACCCTCCTATTCGTGCCCTTTTGTAATAAATCCAACAAC